GGGGGGTGGTGGGTGGTGGGTGAGAAGGCAGCATGGTGAGTGAGCTGCGGCTCAACCCTGAGCTGAAACCTCAGTGTGGATCGCACAGCAGAAGCTGTAACTCAGTGGGTTGTTTCATTGAAGTGATTAGAAAGAACTTGAGATGAGGCTGCTTGCTTCCTAATGGCCTTGTCTCCGTTCTGTTTTGCTTTTCAGTTTTCATGTTGTGGTGGGGACGAGTATAAGGACTGGGGAGTCAACCAGTACCATTTCTGCAATGGTACTGGTCCACTAGCCTGTGGGGTTCCATATACCTGTTGTGTTCGTGGCAAGGTGAGTGCTGGCAACACACAGGAAAGAAAGATACCTTTTTATTTCCTTTTTTTTATCCTGGCCACGTAAATGATGGATTATGGGCATTATTAATTGAGACAGTAAATGAACCTGGTATATAATAAGTAGTGGCAAACAGAGACCAAAAGGAGGCATTTTGTACTGTAACATTATGGTGGGGTATAGCTTTTGTTTCGCTCACTTTTTATTGGGGAACTGCTTGCATACACAGAGTAGGACACACACTCAACACACATTTGTTTTAAATCCAGGAAAATTCCAGCACTTGTGCTGATGTGCATTTGTGTTAACATGGTTACCAAATATTATAGGCTACACAGTGCTTAAAGATTGGATGGATGGCTTTGTAAGCAATTTGCGATTAGCAGATCATTTAAAAGTGGTTTATCTATTGAGTTCGATTTAAAATCAAACACCTGCTATCACATAATCCTGTGGCCCCTTTGCATTGCTTTCACACCACCAATGAACTGCACCAGAGTGGGTTGGTCTCAGTAAGTAAGTTAAGTCAGCGCCAGAGTGTCAGCTTTCATGGCAGTCTAATTGAACTGCACCAAACAGCCAAGGTGTGAAACCACCCCATGAATCTACAGTTCAAACATGTATATATTTGAAAGATACTGTATCCGACTTTCAGACTAGATTAACACTAGAGCACCTGTATCTCAGACCAAAACAAATGAGCAAGCACTACAACCCACCAGACTCCTTTGACAAAAACACTAACTTTACCTTCCACAAACACACTTCATTCAAACTAGACAGAAGCAAAACTCACCAAAACAGTCTTTGTTAGTCTTTTGACTGTTAACAATCATCAAGGTTGGTTTGGCTGAATTAAACCCTTAATTCACAGAGTTAGATGAGAACATAGCTGCGAAATTGGTTGCTATGGCTGCCATGTAATCCTCCGGGACCAATGTATCCATCAAGTGCGTCCACTAAACATGCTTATCTGACAACATTATGGAAAGGATCCTCATAGAGACTGACCTTTTTGTTAAAGAGTAAGATCCTTTTTGTTTAATCAGAAACCCATGTCACTATTGCTAGACACCAGATTCCATAGGAAAAAACAGATTTTACTGCGCAGATCATTGTAACATCATAACTTCATACAAAGTGGACAGAAACAAAATAAAATCTTCAGTCTTTGTTAACTTTCCACTTTTGCAACAATCACTAACTCTGCTTTGGTCGAAATAAATCCTGAAGTCACCAAGGTAGATGAGGAAAAACAGCAGTCTCTATCCTCAAAGCCAAAAGTTGCACACATAATGTTATCTGGAATCTGGATGACATGAAATTTGTGTGTGTATGTTTGGTTGCTTGGAAGTCTATAGTCAGACCGATCAGACCAAAATAGACAGTAAATAGATTACATTTCTCTCTGTCTGTTTGCAGACTTTCAATCTCTGCTGTGATGAGGGCAGATTTCAGAGTGACAAATTCAGCCTGTTAATTAGCAAGTATTGATACCATGTCATCTAGAGATGGCCCTGCTGCGGACAGCCACCCTGTTCGATAATTCTAGTTTCAGTTGAAAGATGGTTCAGATCAAAAAACCATCCACTGACTTTACTGAAGCAAGAAGAGACACATATTATCTACACAACAGAAACATAAATTGTGTCAGAGAGGCATCTCTTCCCGCTAACAAGAGACATGCTGTGATTCAAAGGTACACAGCCTTTGAAAGATTTCTGTCTTCAAATGAAATGCTGGTCCCTCGTGGCCCCCCTCCAACCTCCATATTCTCGGTATGACCCCCGTCCCTTAGCTTGAAGCGATACCGTCTCTGGAAGCAGTGGAGCTGTGTTGGAGAAATTATTGGCAGAATCATCCAATACTCACACCCCAGAGATAGAGGAGTTGATTAGAAAAAAGCTCAACATTGGGTAGGTCTCTGCTGTTATCAGTTCCTACCTGCCAGGGCTGCAGCCACTTTGCAAACACTTTAGTTCATGCTCTGGCTGGCAGCAGACAGGAACACCCCCTTGTGAGTAACATTACTCTCACATATGTCCCTGTGGACCTGTCTCTGGTCATCTCAGCTTATTTAAAATCTTGTCTCTGACTCTAAATCCTTGCACAGGTGGGAGAGGTCATCAACACTCTATGTGGTTACCAGACTCTGGAAAAACAGGTAAGAACTGGTTATTCTAGACACATTTTGTCCATTGGTCTATGACACTTGGACAATGTGTGTGTCACAACATAGGCGAAGTTCCTATTTGTTCTATCATATTAGAGCTGCTTAATTGAGAAAATAAATGAATCAATAATGACAACAATGATTAGTTGCAGCCCTACATCATATCTTTACTGTTATGTTTAACATTGGTTGTATTAAATCACATTGACTTATGTTGTTGTGTCATGAGTGCTGGTATGCAGTATCAGGAAAAGGCTAAATGGATCAAATTTACAGGATATTCTGGGCTTTGTTAGATGACAGATTTTCTAGAATTTGAATTCATAAACTTTATAGATCAAATAACCAGATGGAAATGCATGTCTGTGGGTAATGCAGTCAACCACAGGGGGTACTTCTGAAGTCGCCAGGGGGTCAATTTAAAATTACAAGTTAATTAAAAACGTCAAAATATGGTCACCCAGATAGCTCACCTGGTAGAGCTGGCGCCCCATCTACCAAGGCTGAGTCCTTGCTGCAGTGGCCATGTGTTAGAGTCCCACCTGTGGCCCTTTGCTTCGTGTCACCCCCTCTCTCCCCTCTTCCTGTCGACCTTAAGCTGTCCTGTGAAAATAAAAAGCAAAAAAGTATAAAAAAATAAACCATCAAAATATTGAGTCAACTGTAACACCTGATCATCAGGGGCCAGATGTATTAACCATGTGAACACCTTTCCCCACAAGTAAAATGGCATATAGAATAGAATAGAAGATATTAGTTGAGAGATGTAACCTATAAAATGCTAATTTTGTGTACAAAGGCTGAATCCTTGCTGCATTGGCCCAGATTCCCTTCCAACCTGCTACTTTGCTGCATGTCATCCCTCCTCTTTCCCTCTCTCTCTCTCTCCTCACTTTACTGTCTCTCCACAGCCACTACCATCAAATAAAAGCAATAAAAGCTTGCGCGCTCCTTTCCACAATGATTGAGATTTATGACATAGAATTAGTCATACGTTTTACAAGTGTTTGGGAATCATAATTGATAATAAATTGACCTTGGAAAGGAACATATATAAGCTATGTAAGAAAAGCCAGCACAGTTTTTTTGTCTGAGGAAGTTAGCCAAGTACCAGGTTCCAGAGTAATGAATGAACAGTTGAAAAAATTGATCAATGTTAAAAACATCCACCTTGTGCCACAAATAATATAAATCCAATCCAATTTGCTTGTAGTATTATATATAAGACAACCTTAATTATAAGACGACCCACTCCCTTCAAACACCTGTCCTGTTACCTGGGGGTAAAGTTTTCCCGTCTTTGAAGCCTTTTTTCTTGTAAAAGTCAAACCAGAAATCCCATATTTGTGTAGCTTGTCTATTAGTCACATATTCACACACACTCCTGTCAGGCTCTTTAAATAGTCATAATGGTTTTGTCTGAGCTCCTAGTGATGATATTCTATGACACCATTCATTTTTGGCAGCTTGGCAGCTGATTCAGTCCTGGTCTGTCTTCTTAGAGACGTCAGGAGACGCTTTTGACTCATTTTCATTCATTGGGAGATTAAATGTATATAATTGGAAAAGTCTGAAAAAAACTCACTAGCCTATCAACAGTGAGGCAATATTCGCCCACTCATTTGCTTTGCCACACAGCAGGTGTATCTGTTTGACTGCATCATCCCTGTAGTATATGATATTTTTAATGTGCTATCCAGTAATTCATGGCTGTAAAGGAAAATCCAGGCAAAGATGATCATCACATTTTAGCTTGTTGTCATCTCAAAGGCTTTTCCATTTGGCTCCATTATGCACCGTTTCCTGACCAAGGAACCGATGCATTCCTCTCAGAAGCTTAAATAAAGTTTTTTATGACGGAAAAACATTGCGAGTATTAAGAGTATTAAGCTTATTTACCATCTAATGTACGGACTGATCATGTTGTTGCGAGATGGTAGGAGGTGACAAGCAGATTCTGTGATGTTAATTGACTATTTTGTCAGTTTTTTCATTCTCCAGTTTATACAGACTGCAAATAAGTGAACAGCTGAAAGTGCGATACCTTCTACTGTGTGTGACAACTTCACCGGTTCACTAGTTTCTTTTTTTCCTTCTTTATTTAATTCTTGGTGGCAGTGGCTGTTTGAGTTTAAAACTAAAACTTTCCTCTTGTTGTCTTCCTCTGGTCTGTGTATCAGCGTGAAACCCTGCATGAGTTGATCCATGTGCGAGGCTGCATCCATGCAGTCAACCTCTGGATGAGTGACAACATTGGAGAAACCATTGCACTCTGCTGCGCCATTGGGCTGCCTCAGGTAATTTAAAACTCATAGCACTGACTCACTGGAACTGAACCGGGTTGGAAGCCCTCTTTCCAACCAAATGCACTTCTCTAACTTAGCCTTGATATTTCAATTCAACTCCCCACTTCCTGTGAAAGTTTCTGAAAGCTAATTCCCATTTTCATTTTCTTTCGAACAACCCTTCCTGGCGAATAATTCACGTTTTCTATGCTGCATGAACAAACTGATGCAGCAGTGCCAGAATACTTACTTATTAGCAAAAACTAAATTGATTAACTTTCAAGTAGGTTTTGCGAATTTATACCTTTTGATAAATCTGAACCCTACACATTACAATGTGCACAAATCTTCTCATGCATACATTAAGACTTGTCGCAGCCCCCTTACAGAGGAGTAATTACAATAATTACTTATCTAAAACAGCTGCATAAATAACATTGGTTCTTTCCAGCACCACCATTTCAGAATAAATTGTAGCTCATACAAGGTGCAAGAAACTTATTCCAATTAAAAATAAACACCTACTCTTACAGTTATTAGTGCCCTGGAAGAAAAATCCAAAGTTTTTACTTGTTGCCAGCCACTATCTTCACTTGGTGAACAGACATGACTCGTCATTCCTTTGTGTTTCTGTGGCTTGTGCACTCCAGGGTCTGATTTCTTTCAGTGTGTTGATCCTATAAATAAGTGTTCCTATACATAAACAGCAGTGTTATTATTGGGTATATAGGGTTACTGTGGACCATTTAAAGGCTCGAATGAAAGTATAACTTGGATCAGGTTATCATTTGTGTCAGACTCACTCTATTGGCTGTGATGGAAGGTCTAATTATTAGTTATTGAGTTTCCTGCAGTGCCTTAAGGGGAGGTGAGTCACCTCGTCTAAAATAAAGACCCCCCTCTGCTAACAAAAAAATGAATACACAAAATAAAATATGAATGTCATATCATGAGAGAAGGATTGCAGTGGCGCTATAATTAGGGATGTCCTGATCAAGTTTTATCCAGGTCCTTTTAATATTGGGTATCACTGATACCAAGTCTGATCCAATACTTATCAACTAAATGTGGATTAAATATGTATCTGACACATTGAAATTACAGCTGTAGCCGTCTTAAATTGACACACCTCATTTTTTCACCAGCTACTCGATCCAAATACCGATGGTCCTGGTTCAGACTATTAGGATGATAAGATTAAATAACTGATGTGGTATGAATGAGAGGTTAACTTGAAGAATGCGACCTATCACAGCAGTTGTTGGAACTACAAAAACACTTCATAAACAATTTTTGGCACAGACAGGATTACAGAGAGCACACACCAGACAGCAGCCAAGTTTAATTTTGGCCTATCATCATGTTACTCACAGAAGTAACGTTGTTATATGATCTGCTGCCAACATTTGTCATTTTAACCCGTCAGCACCGGCAGGTAGTGCTGTCTGAATGTTTTGTACAATTGTGTTTGCTAATAAGGAAGAGAGCAAGAGATTATAAAAAAAATACTGTTGGAGATCAGCAAATCCTTGTACTTTGAGTCAGTCACAACCAAATGAAATGCAGTGAAATACTGCACTGTATAACTTTCATAACTATAACTATCATCTTTATGAGGATGCCGCTCTACTAAAATATGCCTGGATCGGCTCCAATGCATTACTCTGGGCTCAGGACAGCCCTAGCTATGAAACAGCAAATGCCATTTATTTAAAGGTGTAATTATTGTTGAGATTGACATTACCTCACTAAAACTGGAAGTGTTACCACATTCTGTATGCCCATTTTAAAGCTTTCTTTAAATGATATCCTCTTCCTCTGTGTAGACACAAGGGATCTGCCTGTATATTATCTCTGTCAGCCAACACTTTTATTATTTAAACTTTAAGACTACTGAGAAATCATGTTTTTTTCTGTCAGGTTGGCATGGTGCACAGCTCAAAATACTACAGTACCCATGAGCCTCAGCCACTGTCGCTGTGGAGAAGAAAGCAATGAGATGTGTGAATCACAGCGGCAGCAAATTAAAAACCCTTTTATAGTTGTGAATAAAACAGTGCCATAGTTGCCAAAAGTGACCCAGAATGCAAAAGGAAATGAATTCAAGCTGCAGGTTGTGTTTTCAGTTTCCTCAACAGTGTGATCTTTAGCTCCCACACAGCATTATGGCGCACAGGTCAGAGTTGTTACCTCAATGATCGGATGTTTAAAATGCACACTGGGAGTTATAATCAACGTCTTTTATGTTTTTAATGTAGACGAGCATTTGTCGTCATTTGTACTGATGATTCAGCCACGGGAGTTTCCTGCTGATCCAAGATGGGCAAATGCTCTAATTGTGAGTCACAAATGAATGAGAATTTAACTTCTAACTAACCTTAAACCAGAAACAGAGGCAACCTAATGGGCTCCTCCCATTGTGTAACTCTATAGCATTTCATCATATCAGAGTAGCTCTTTAAAGTCATGTGACCAAAGCTGGAAGCAGAAAAGGTCTAGTTCAGTTCCGCTCTTCCTGTTGCACTTAATGGCTGGAATGATGAATTAGTCAATGACTGAAAATTAACAACAACAATTAAAAATTTGGGATAATTGAGAAGAAATGTATCAATAAATAAATAAATAAATAGATTAATGAAACAAGTAATAAGCAAATCAATAATGAAAATAACGGTTTGCTGCCGTTTAAATGAGGCTCATGAATCCTTATGGCTTTACGTTCTTTAACAGGGGGTCCTAAAAGTTACTGCAGTTCATTTGCAATACAATTTTATACACTATGTGTTGGGGTCACAGAGTATTTGTATTAACAAGGTCCTATGTCTCCCTGCAGCTGCTGGGCATCATCCTCAGCTGCGTCTTCTGGAACCTCCTGGTGGACATGAGCGAGTCCGCCGACATGGTGGACTTCAAGCTGAAGAAGGCAGAGGTTAAGTACAGCGAGCTGGACCTGGCCGGAGCTGGGTGGTGCATGTGCCTGCCGAGGGACGGTGGCTACCTACCCGTCCCCGCCGCCGAGATCGAACTCGACCCCATTGACGTTCACCTGGAGAAGCTCAAGAAGCAGCCGCCTCGCACGCACGCTCAGCTCCGGGAAATGCAGCAGTCCAGATCGGCCTTGGGGCTGGACGAGGTTGACGTTGGCCGGAAGCAGAAAAGGGAACACTGAAGCTGTCTTTTTGCCTTTTGGGTTTTTTGCCTTTTTTTCTGTCGTTGTAATCATTGCATTTGTTGGAGTCGTGTTGCACTACTTAATGGTTGAACCTGTCAGGCATTGGACCAAGAGAAGGTTGGTCAGCTAAAGGGATCAGAAGTACTTTGGCACTTTGTCGGTGAATTTGTTTACAGCAAAAATTGACGGAACAACATGCAACACTGACTTTTTTTGAAAAAGAAAAAAAATCTTTTGTCTTGTTTGTGTCAGTTGATATTGAAGGATTTATGGCATTATATCACTTTTTATTTATTTCTTTTTTTTTGGCCTTTAAAATTGAGCTATGTCTCATGTGCTAAAGCTTACCTCAGGCTGTTTTGAAAATAGCCCAGTAGTCGGAGCACAGTACTATGTGGTGTATAAATTAATGGTAGCTTGAAAAGACGTTTTTCGGTGTCGGAGAAATAGGAATAGCCAAGTATGTCTTGCGTGTAGCGTCTGTGACGGATGTATAAAGTTTGTGTATTATTTCATTTTATTATGATTTTAAAGTTGACTTTGTACAATCGGTGTACATTGTAAGACTGATAGTTGTGGAATAACATGGGATGCATGTTTTGTACTGTGTGTATGTATATATATATTCTATATACCATCACTCAGCCCATGATACAAAGTAGAGTGTATGGTAATCCCAGCCTACTGTTACTTAAGTGTCAAACCTACCCACCTGTATATGGTTTACCTTATATGAGGTGTATATAGATAATAATGATAGGATCTATACTATAGTTAAAAAAAAAAAAAAAACAGAAAACTCAGTTTACATGTTAGGCTCTCATCAGGGGGGCTTCAGTCTATTCCATTTTTAACTAAACTTTTTATTCCATCTTTTAAAGGACAACCTAAAGGGATTATCCAGACTACAAATCCAATGAAAAGCTACTCTGACGGTTTTTTGTATCTGAGTTATGCACTGTTTTGAGCTTCCCCCTAGCTCCTGCCTTGTATCAGCACTACTGTTCTTGTCAATAAAGCTGAATTTGTCTACTGATTTTTGTGCCGAATGTTTGTAATGAAGTGCGCCATACATTTCAGCTCCAAACTGAAACTTTTCCTACCTCCAGAGATTTATTTTAGTTTCTAGTTCACATTTAAATTGCCCCTCCAGTCAAAAAGAGAGTTTCTTCTTGTTCCTACAGTGTGATGTTCGAATGATGCAGAGTTTGACACACATTATTGTTCCAAGCAGACATGTCCTGATGCATGTCTGTAGGGGATCTTTAACCTGAACGTGTCCTGTGGAGCTAACAAACAAAAGTCATATATGTTGTATGTTTGAGCTCTAACAAATGCATCTCCTGTCTCATAAAACATTTGTCAATTTAAGTATTTAAATTTTATTTTATTTTATTTACACCTGAGTTTACCTGCTTGCAGTCTTCTTCCCTGCCTTGTTTGCGCACTGCAGCATATCTTGTCATTTAGAACAGCTCAATAATGTGGACCCAAGAGTGTGTGTAAACGGCATGCACGCTTTAACATGCGGACCCATTTAGAAAAAAAAAGGCTCCACAGCGCTACAGGGACAGAACCTTACAGGTAACCGTTAGTTCCTGCAAACATAACGTTGCAGGAATGAGTGAGGAACCTTGTCTTGTAGTCAGTGGGTTTTTTGAATGGGTTTTTGGTTAGATGGCTTTGATAAATTTAGTGGTTCAAGCTTAAAAATGTTTAATTTGTTCATATTTGCACTTTAAATATGTAAGTAAATACCCTACTTGTGACTTGTGAGGCCTTTTGGTGTTGGCGGTTGCTAACAAGTGGCTTAATGAGACTACAGCAGTTGTTGGTGACATTAAACATCAGCATGGCAAACATTTATAGCCTCACTCTGTTTATACTCACACTCTTGCAAACTGTTCTATATCAAACTTTACAACTTGTAGATTTTAATTACAAGGTTTAATTACGAGTTGGAATTTTAGTGGATGTGACATTGAAGTCATCTGTCGAAGGAACCAGGACGATGCTAACTTCAAATATATGTCAATGCTGCAGCACTCTATAGCAGCATTTCAAATTTCAAATTTCTTTAAGTTTAAAAAGGAAAAAATAAATATATATCGGTGAAGCCACAAAAATATGTAGATCTTCCTTAGAACTGGATTTTGAATTGCAAATTATTTTCTCGTTTCACAAAAGCTGATCCCTCCCTACTCTTTTATCCCTGTTCCACACACTGCCCTCTCTCCGGATGAGATACAGCAGCCATATTAATTCAGCTCACAAGCAGCGCATGAATGCACACGGCTCTCTCTTCTCCTGCAGGTCACCTCTCCTCATTCACTTCTCACCTCTCGTCTCCCCTCATCATGATGATCAAGAGACAGCGGGTGGGATAATTATAGCAAGGAGCTGAATTGCGTCAGCTAAAAAAAAAACACTCCATGGCCTGAGGGCAGGATGTGCGCACATCCAAACAAGCCGTGATTATGATAATATGGACATGAATGTTGTTGTTACGATGGGAAAACACGTACACACTCACTCTGTTTCCACACCCTTATCCGTCAGGGAACAGGCTCGGGTGTGTGGAGGCTCAGTGTTAATACCACTTGTTGCAAAGACCACATATATTGAGCTCTGGTAATAATATACAATTTACAGGATTTTTTGGAAAATAGCTGAAATTACACAGCAGCACATATTGGCAACAACCCACAGCCATATGGTGGAGAGTGCAGCAGCACTGCAGGCAGATTCTATCATTCTTAACTGAAGGTATGTCTGAATACCTATATTATGTTACCTATATGTTACCTATATGTATAGGTAACTTCGTTCATTTTTTCCGGGGGGGGGGTCAGTGGAAGCACCCTAGTGATGAGAAGACCAGTTCTTTTAAGTAACCCGAGCCAAATAGTTGAGAGAATGTTATAGATCCAAGACAGAAGGGTAGAACTGAGAGAAAAAAGTGCAATTACAAATCTGTATGCTACTTCAGGACCACGGACAGCGCCATGGATTTGTCCAGACACAGCACAGCTAATCTACTGATATTACAGAGCCATGGTTCGGGTTCATAACGCAGGCTGGATATTATGATGTTCTGGAACTTTGCTTGAGGAAATGATGTTTCTGTTCTCTCTTTCGTGGACGTTAAGTGAAATTACTTTTCTCTGACTCACTTATTTCTCCGGCTGTTTGTCTCTCGTCTCATCTCTCCTGTCATCAGTGTGCCAGAGTGGCATCATGGGAGATGATCACGTGTAATTGGTCTGTGAGTTTCCCAGTAGCAAGTGAGCTGCGTGTGAGTTGCAATCTGCAACTAC